GTTGAAGACCTCGCGTGTAAACCCGCTCTGATTACCAAGTGTGAGGATCTAGGATCGAGTTCAGAAAAGAGAATGAGAATTGAGTCGAATTGAATTGAATTGAATGTCCACCTGGGTACAACACGAGGCTATATATAGGCTCGACACAAGGCCCCGTAACCAGGTGTTACGCGAAGGTTCCGCGGGTCGCGAAGCGTCCCGAACAGATCCTTACCGAATTCGGTAGAAGGCAATTCGGTGGCAACCGAAAAGCCAGAATTCGGTGCACGCAACCTAGCTCGGTGCTATAATTATAATAAAATATAGGAAAGCACCTAGCCTAGGAAATCAAGCAATTCATGCATGCATATGATTATCCTATGCTAGAAATAGCATGATAAAGTAGAGGCAAGCAAGCATAGCTGGCATAAGCCGTCGTACTCTCACACTGTGGGAGTATCGGTCCCACTGACTGTAGCACCGTTGATTGTAACACTGCTGACTGTAACACAGCCAACTGTATTACCGCTGAATGTAGTCCCACTGACTGTAGCACCACTGACTGTAGCACCACTGACTGTAGCACCACTGACTGTAGCACCATTGACTGTAGCACCACTGACTGTAGCACCACTGAATGTAGGAGTGGTTGCAGTTGTTATGTGATGCTATCACTTGCATTCACGTCTGTCTGCCTCCCATCACATGTTCGTGCGTTGCATGCGTGGTGTGAGCGTGTGCAAGAATTTGTGTTTGATGTGGTTTGGTTTTTCTGAGTGTGTATGAATGTTATTAGGCTTGAGCAGGTATTTGAAGTGACTCCTCTGCTCAAGAACTTTCCATCGAGCCAAGTATCGCCTCAATCGGAGCACGAACAAGAAAGTTACGAACATTTGAAGTTCGTATGCTGTTGATATTTGGTTGTAATGACTATGGGAAGTTGTAGGGTTGAATCCATACGGGGTACATACTTTTGGGGGTTGAGAAATTCGTCAACATCACTGTAGATGCTGCCAAGTGGTTGGGAGGAGCCAAACCAGGTTGGCAAGTGTGGCAAAGTTGGGCAAGGTGGATGGCATGGGTTGGAAAGTGACAAGAGTAAAAGTGGGGTTCCTATAGGGAAAGGATTTGATGTGCTTATGGGGTTTCCCTGGTTGGGGAATCCTTGGGGTCCTTCCCTCTCGTCCTCCTCTTCCCTCCCACCTGGTTAATTGCTACTCTAACTTTCTTGTGTGAAATTTGTGAGACTCTTTTATTGAGTTAAGATTCTATGGCAGCATACCCCCTAGTGCGCCGAAATTCATAACTCAAGAAATACTTCACCTTATTGTACGTTTCAAATTGGAAAATGTAGCCACGGACTAGGGGTACAGCATATCTGAGCTTGGTGAAGTTTTGACAGTGCGTTGTTTTGTCGAAGACGTTATTTGTGAAGTCGACAGTTCTGTCCAGAATTCTAAGCCAACGATTTTTAAGAAATTTGTCAAATTATAATGTTCTGTAGGCTATAGTGGGGTAGCCTATATGGGGTACACATTTCTAGGGTTGCATATTTGTATCACTTTCGTTCCTTAGTCAATCATTCTTGTTTCAAATTTCTCATGGTATCGAGCAGGTTCCCTAGTGGGAACTGTACCTAGGGCCCACCACATCGATTTTTTTTTTTCCTGCCCGGAGCGCGCTCAGCCCGAGTCGCGCTCCTCTCTCTCACTGCGTCGCGCCGCCCTAGCGGCCCCGTCGTTCTGACGGCCCCATCATCCTAGCGCCCCCGTCGCCTAGCCCTACGGCCCCGTCGCCTCGCCCTACGGCCCCGGCGCCGTCCTGTCCCGGCCCCGCCGCCCTTCGCTGCGGCCCCGCCGCCCTTCGCTGCGGCCCCGCCGTCCTTCGCTGCGGCCCCGCCGCCCTTCACTACGGCCCCGCCGCCCTTCCCTAAGGCCCCGCCGCCCTTCGCTGCGGCCCCGCCACCCTTCGCTGCGGCCCCGCTGCCCTTTGCTGCGGCCCCGCCGCCCTTCGCTGCGGCCCCGCCGCCCTTCTCTGCGGCCCCGCCGCCCTTCACTACGGCCCCGCCGCCCCTCTCGCTACGGCCCCGCCGCCTACCTTGCGGCTCCGCCGCCCTTCGCTGCGGCCCCGCCGCCCCTCTCGCTACGGCCCCGCCGCCCCTCTCGCTGCGGCCGCGCCACCTACCTTGCGGCCCCGCCGCCATTCGCTGCGGCCCCGCCGCCCTTCGCTGCGGCCCCGCCGCCCTTCACTGCGGCCCCGCCGCCCTACCGAGCCGCCCGAGCCGCCCGAGCCGTCCGTTCCGCCCGAGCCGCCCGAGCCGCCCGAACCGCCCGAGCCGCCCGAGCCGCTCGAGCCGCCCAAGCCGCCCCAGCCGCCCGAGCCACCTAAGCCGCAGGGGAGCCGAGCCGCTGGTGCCGCCGAGCCGCAGTTACTGCTGAGCCGCCCGAGTCGCCCGAGCCGCCGTGTTGACGTGCTGGTGTGCTGCCGAGCTGCCCGAACCGCCCTGTCTGGTGAGAGCAGCGCTTCTGTCACTGCACTGCCCCTGTCCTTCAGTTAGCACTGCTAGCCTACTGCTGTCATGGCCACCCCCAGTGTTCTCGCTTTTGACGCTGAGGGTCGGGCCATTGACTTTGAGGTCTGGGTAGATGACCTGCAGGTTTTCCTACAGTGCGATAGGGCAGACGGTCTCTCCCTCTTTGACCTTACCTCTGGTGCCTCCCCTGCCCCTGCTGCCGATGCCGACGCCACTATTCGCTCCCAATGGGCCACTCGCGATGCTGCTGCACGTCTTGCTGTGCGTCGCCACCTGCCTACCACTGAGCGCGCACACTTCAGTCTGTACAAGAGTGCTCAGACCTTGTACGACGCCGTAGTAGTACGCTACTCTTCCCCTGCCACTGCTGCACTGAGCCGCCTCATGCTGCTGTACCTCTTCCCTGACCTTGCTGCCTTTCCCACAGTCGCTGACCTCATTACGCACCTCCGCACTAGTGACACTCGCTACCGCGCTGCGCTTCCTGCTGAGTTCTGCGCCAAGAACCCCCCCCCCCCCATGTACATCACTCTCTATTATATAGTCACCCGCCTCCCTGACTCCCTTCGTGTAGTCAGGGACCACTTCCTCTCGGTCTGTCCCACCACTCTCACTGTTGACCTCCTAGAGAAGGCCCTCCTAGCAGCGGAGAAGAGCATAGTCGCTGTAGGAGCCTCTCGTGGTGACCCTCGCACCCCCATCTTTGAGGGGTGTTCCCCTTTCCCCCTTTTGCCCTCTGTCGCCTCTGCTGCTGTGGCCGACCTTATTGGTCTTGAGTCGGTCGGTACGGCGTCCGCCCCTAGCGGGAGACGCCGCTCTGGCAAGGGCAAAGGGGGCAAGGGCGCGGGTGGAGCTAGCAGGGGTGGCGGAGGTGGTGGTGGAGGCGGCGGAGGGAGTGGGGGTGGCCGTGGGAGTGGTGGCAGGGGTGGAGGTGTCAGTGGCAGCAGTGGAGGCGGAGGCAGCAGAGGCGGTAGCGATGGGAGCGGAGGCGGCGGTGGTGGTGGAGGTGGAGGAGGCGGTGGTGGAGGGGGTGGAGCTGGTCGAGGTGGCGCTTAGCAGAGTAGCGGCTCCGGTGGTGGTCAGCGCCAGCAGCAGCAGTAGCAGCGTTCTCGGGACATCCCCCAGCCTCAGCAGCTCCGTGAGTGGTACGCTGCGCGTCAGCGTGGTGGGGGTTTTGGTCCGTGCACCTACGTCCTTCGCACCGGCGACCGCGCGGGTGAGCAGTGTGGGGGTGCCCGCTCCACCCAACGCTGCTTTGGCCGCCAGACGGACGCTTGGCGTCACCAGTTCCCGGAGGCCGCAGAGATCCCCCGCTGGGAAGAGCTGTCTAGGGCAGGTGTAGCTATCTTTGATCTTGACTTTGATGCTATTCTTGCTGCCATGTATTTGTCAGAACATTATAACTTACTTATTTGTGTAGGCTATAGTGGGGTATCCCATAGGGGGTACAATCCCATTAGGGTTTCCTATTTGTACTCACTTCATTCTTAGTCATTTCATTTCTCGTTCTATTGTTCTCATGGTATCGAGCAGGTTCCCCTGTGGGAACTGTGCTTAGGGCCCACCACTACTTCGACTTTTTTCTCTGCCTGGAGCGCGCTCTGGGCTCTCTCTTTCACGCCCGCGCGCCGCCTGTTCCGGCCATTAGCCGCCCGCGCGCCGCCCTTTGCAGCCCGCGCGCCGCCCTTAGGAGCCCGCACGCCGCCCTAGAGCCAGCGCGCCGCCCTACGCAGCCCGCGCGCCGCCCTACACAGCCCGCGCGCCGCTCGCTAGGCCCCAGGCCGCCCGCGCGCCATCTGCGCGCCGCCCTCAGCCGCCCGTGAGCCGCCCGCGCGCCGCCCTCAGCCGCCCGTGAGCCGCCTGTGCGCCGTCCTTAGCTGCCCGTGAGCCGCCCGTGCGCCGCCCGTCAGCCACCTTCAGCCGCCCATAAGCTGCCCGTGAGCCGCTCGTGCGCCGCCCGTGAACCGCCCGTGAGCCGCCCGTGCGCCGCCCGTGAGCCGCCCGTGAGCCGCCCGACAGCAGCCTGTAAGCCGCCCGTGAGCCACCCTTCAGCCGCCCGTGAGCCGCCCGCGAGCCGCCCGTGAGCCGCCCTTCAGCCGCCCGCACGCCGCCCGCGAGCCGCCCGTGAGCCGCCCGTCACGACGCCCGAGCCGCCCGTGCCACCCGCGTCACCCGAGCCGCCTGCGCAGCTGAGGAGCCGAGCCGCCCGAGCCACCCGAGCTGCAGAGCCGCCCGGGTCGCCTGTGCCGCTGAGCGCCCGAGCCGCCCGAGCCGCCCGAGCAGCCCGAGCCGCTCGAGCCGCCCGAGCCGCCCGAGCCGCCTGAGCCGCCCGAGCCGCCCGAGCCGCCCGAGCCGCCCGAGCCGCCCGAGGAGCCGAGCCGCTGGTGCTGAGGTGCTGCTGTTGCTGCTGGGCCGGCCGAGCAGCCGTGTTTGCTGTGCTACTGTGCTCCTAGACCCGTCCTGTCTGGTGAGATCGCCGGCTGCAGTCATGGCTACCCCTAGTGTCCTAGCTTTTGACGCTGAGGGTTGTGCCATTGACTTTGAGGTCTGGCTCGACGACCTGCAGCTGTTCTTACAGTGCGATAGGGCAGACGGTCTTTCTCTCTTTGACCTCACCTCTGGCGCCGTCCCTGCCCCTGCTGCTGATGCTGACGCCACTGTTCGCTCACAGTGGGCCACGCGCGATGCTGTTGCACGTCTTGCTGTGCGTCGCCACCTGCCTACCGCTGAGCGCGCGCACTTTAGCCAGTACAAGAGTGCCTAGACCTTGTACGACGCTGTAGTTGCGCGCTACTCCTCCCCTGCCACTGCTGCACTGAGCCGCCTCATGCTCCCCTTCCTCTTCCCTGACCTTGCTGCCTTTCCCACTGTCGCTGACCTCATTACGCACCTCCGCACTAGTGACACTCGCTACCGCGCTGCGCTTCCTGCTGACTTCTGCACCAAGAACCCCCCCCCCCCCCCCATGTACATCTCTCTCTACTTTTTAGTCACTCGCCTCCCTGACTCCCTTCGTGTAGTCCGGGACCACTTCCTCGCGGTCTGTCCCACCACCCTCACTGTCGACAGCCTCGAGAAGGCCCTCCTAGCGGCGGAGAAGAGCATAGTCGCTGTAGGAGCCTCTCGAGGTGACCCCCGCGTCCCCATCTTTGAGGGGTGTTCTTCTTCCCCTCTCCTGCCCTCTGTCGCCTCTGCCGCTGCGGCCGACCTCGTTGGTCTTGAGTCGGTCGGTGCGGCGTCTGCCCCTAGTGGGAGACGTCGCTCTGGCAAGGGCAAGGGGGGCAAGGGAGCGGGTGGGGCCTGCGGGGGCGGTGGAGGTGGCGGTGGAGGCGGCGGAGGGAGTGGGGGTGGCGGTGGAGGTGGTGGCGGGGGTGGGGGTGCTAGTGGCGGCAGTGGAGGCGGGGGTGGCGGCGGCGGTGGCGGTGGGAGCGGAGGTGGCGGAGGTGGCGGCGGTGGAGGCGGAGGCGGGGGTGGCGGTGGCGGTGGCGGTGGTGGAGGTGGTCGGAGTGGCGCTTTGCAGCGGAGCAGCACTGGGGGTGGTCAGCGCCAGCAGCAGCAGCAGCAGGAGCGTTCTCGCGACCTCCCGACGCCTCAGCAGCTCCGTGAGTGGTACACCCAGCGTCAGCGTGGTGGGGGTTTTGGTCCCTGCACCTACGTCCTTCGCACTGGCGACCGTGCTGGAGAGCAGTGTGGGGGTACCCACACCGCCCAGCGCTGCTTTGGCCGCCTGACGGACGCTTGGCGCCAGCAGTTCCCGGAGGCCGCGGAGATCCCCCGCTGGGGAGAGCTGTCTAGGGCTGGTTTAGCTGTCTTTGAACTTGACTTTGATGCTATCCTTGCTGCCATGTATGCTGTGACCATTAGTGATAAGGGTGACTGTTACCGATGTTTCCCGCCAGACCCGGGCATTGGTACTGCTGCTCTAGGTGTCAGTGAGACTTCTGCTCTAGGTGCCAGTGCGTCTGTGCTCTTAGGTACTGGTGAGGCTGCTCTCTCAGGTACTAGTGAGTCTGCGCTCTCAGGTACTGCATCGGCCTCGGCCTCCCACACCTTCACTCTTGACTCTGGAGCGTCTCGCTCCTTCTTTCGGGACCGCACCACACTCACGCCGCTTAGTCGGCCGGTTGCGGTGTCCCTGGCTGACCCCTCTGGGGGTCCTGTCCTGTCTCGCTTCTCCACAGTCCTCCCGTGTCCGGCGGCTCCCTCTGGCACCCTGTCTGGTCTCTACCTCCCCTCGTTCTCTACGAACTTGGTGAGTGGTGCTGACCTACAGGATGCGGGAGTCCACCAGTTCACCCCTGCTCGTCAGCGGGTGACGCACTGCACAGAGGCTAGCACAGGTCGTCACCTGGCTACGTTTACACGTCAGCCAGGGTCGAGCCTGTACACACTGACCACTGCTTCTCCTCCAGTTCCTGAGTCTGGTAGGGTCCTATCTTCAGGTCAGGTGTTTGCTGCAGCGTCCTGGTCTGGTCCTGAGTCTGCCCCCTGTTCGTGTCGTCGCCTGTCTCACGAGACTCTCCTCAGGCACCACCGCCTGTGTCGCCCCTCTCTGCTTCGGCTCAGAGGCATGGCCTCCCGTCTTCTTGTGTCTGGTCTCCCCCGGTCCCTCCCTCCCCTTCCTCAGGGCCCTGGCCCTGCCTGTGTCCCCTGTGTCGAGGGGCGCCAGCGTGCTGCCCCTCACTCCTCCCAGTTTCCTCCGACAGAGGCTCCGTTGCAGACGCTTCACATGGACGTGTGGGGCCCTGCCCGCGTCCGTGGACTCGGTCACGAGCGCTACTTCCTGTTGGTGGTAGACGACTACTCGCGTTACACCACAGTCTTCCCCTTGCGCAGCAAGGGTGATGTCACTGAGGTGCTGATCGACTGGATCCGCGCAGCTCGTCTCCAGCTCAGGCAGAGCTTTGGCTCGGACTTTCCTTTGCTGCGTCTGCACTCGGACAGGGGCGGAGAGTTCTCCTCTGGCCTTCTGCGTGCCTACTGTCGTGCGTGAGGCATCCGTCAGACCTTCACGCTTCTGGACTCACCGCAGCAAAATGGGATTGCAGAGCGCCGCATTGGCATGGTCATGGACGTCGCTCGTACGTCTATGATGCATGCGGCTGGGCCCCATTTTCTGTGGCCGTTTGCAGTCAGGTACGCGGCGCATCAGATCAACCTCCACCCTAGGGTCTCCAGGCCGGAAACCTCCCCAGCTCTGCTATGGACGGGAAAGGTTGGCGATGCGTCGGCGTTCCGGGTCTGGGGATCTCGGGCGTTTGTCCGCGACTTGTCTGCGGACAAGCTGTCCCCTCGCGCTGCACCCTGCGTCTTCCTGGGGTTCCCCCCGGACGCCCCTGGGTGGCAGTTCTACCACCCCACCTCTCGCTGTGTTCTGTCCTCCCAGGACGTCACGTTCGACGAGTCGGTACCCTACTACCGCCTCTTCCCCTACCGCACACCGTCCCTCCCCCCACCCCCGCTCTTCTTGGTACCAGGTCCCCCCCCGGTAGACCCCCTCCCCCCTCAGGGTCCTGCCCCTTCAGGTGTGTCCCAGGTAGACGCGGTCGAGCCTGTCGAGGTCACTGGTGACTCTGGTGCTGCTGTGGGTGCTGAGCCTAGGGGTGCTGTGCCTGGGGGTGTTGTGCCTGGGGGTGCTGAGCCTGGGGGTGCTAAGCCTGGGGGTGCTGAGTTTGGGGGTGCTGCGCCTGGGGGTGCTCAGCCTGGGGGTGCTGAGACTGGAGGTTCTTCGCTTGGAGGTTGTCCGGGTGCTTCGTCTCGCCGAGAGCCACTCTCCCCACAGGAGCTGCGTGAGTGGTTTGCCCGGCGCTGGAGGCATGCTGCTGGTGCTGGAGGTTCTTCGGCTGCTGAGGGTGCTGCTGCCGCGTGTCCCGGAGGTGCTCGTACTGGGAGTACTGGAGCTGCTGGGCCCGCGGGTTCTCCTGGAGCTGGTGCTGCTGAGCGTGTTGGCACTGAGACTACCGCTGGCGGTCCGCCTGGCAGTGCTCCTGGTACTGCTGGAGGTTCTGGGGCTACTGGAGGTGCTGCTGGGGGTTGTGGAGCTACTAGAGGTGCTGCTGGAGCGGGTACTCTTGCTGGGGGTGCTGGTGCTGTCCCTGCTGTATCTGGCGTCGCCACGCGACCCTGACCGTACTTCGTTCCACTCCTGCAGCAGGTTCTTGGTCTTACACCTTCTCCTGGTCCTCCTCCTCCTCCCTTAGAGGGTCCACAGCCTATCCAGTCACAGTCACAGCTACAGCCTACCTCCCCTTTGCTTGCTCCTTCTCCCTACACTGGTCCGACTGGAGGTCTTACTGAGCGTCGTGAGCCTGCGTCACGTCCTGCGTCGCCTGTTCGTGCTGCGCGCACTAGTGGTCGCGGTTCGCGTCAGCGTCCTCCTCCTGTCCCTGGCACGCACCGGATGTCTCTGCGTCCGTCCACTGCTCCTCTACGTGCCCCTTTGCCTTCTCCTCCTGCTTCCTCTCTTCCTGCTCTTGCCGACCCGGAGTCGGACTCTCTTCGTGCTACAAGTCCTACTGTCACGCGTCTCCTTGCTACTGCCGTCACTGACCCTTCTTTCGAGTCTTTTGCTGCGTCTGCCCTTGTTACTGAGCTCGTCCACTTTGCTGCGCGCTGTCGTCTAGACTACGCTGCTAGTCTTGTCGCTGAGTCTGAGTCTGCCTCTCCTCCGTCCGTCGGGGGAGAGAGTGTGCCCTTGGCACGGACGTCCTTGAGGACAGGCAGGAGGAGTTCCAGTGTCTGGCCGCCGCTTCACCTCATCTCGCGTCTGTACTGCTCGCCCTTGAGGGAGACCCGGATGCACTAGACATCCCGACTCCGCGCTCTTACGCGGAGGCGATAGAGGGTCCCTACTCCTCTCAGTGGCAGGCAGCTATGGATGCAGAGATGGCGTCCTGGAAGTCCACAGGCACCTACGTTGACGCTGTCCCCCCTCCTGGGGCGAACATCGTCAGTGGCATGTGGATTTTCAGGGTGAAGTGGCCGCCGGGTTCTCCGCCTGTCTTCAAGGCACGTTACGTGGCTCGTGGCTTCAGTCAGCGGCAGGGAGTTGACTACTTTCAGACCTTCTCCCCCACTCCGAAGATGACCACTCTTCGGGTACTGCTGCACGTTGCTGCTCACCGTGACTACGAGTTGCACTCTCTCGACTTCAGCACTGCTTTCTTGCAGGGCAGCTTGCACGAGGAGATCTGGCTGCGTCGCCCACTTGGTTTCACTGGGTCTTTCCCTCCTGGTACCCAGTGGAGTCTCCGGCGTCTAGTCTACGGTCTCCGCCAGGCGCCGCGTGAGTGGCACGACACACTGAGGACTACGCTGGCGGCACTTGGGTTCGCTCCTTCCACTGCAGACCCGTCGCTGTTTCTGCGCACCGACACCTCTCTGCCGCCGTTCTACATCCTCGTGTACGTCGACGACTTGGTCTTTGCCACAGCTGACACTGCTGGACTCGCCTACGTGAAGTCCGAGCTGCAGAAGAGACACACGTGCACTGACCTGGGTGAACTGCGCAGCTACCTTGGCTTGCAGATCACCCGGGACAGAGCACGCCGCACCATTACCCTGACTCAGTCACACATGGTGCAGCAGGTCCTTCAGCGCTTCGGCTTCACGTACTCCTCGCCTCAGGCCACTCCTCTGCCTACTCGCCACTCGCTCTCAGCTCTGCCTTCGGATGAGTCCGTAGAGTCGAGTGGCTCGTACCCAGAGCTTGTTGGCTACCTCATGTACCTGATGACCTGCACACGACCTGACCTTGCATACCCTCTTAGCATTCTCGCACGCTATGTTGCTCCTGGGAGACACCAACCAGAGCACATGGCTGTAGCGAAGAGGGTGTTTCGCTACTTGTGCAGTACGTCGGGCATGGGGCTAGTGCTTGGAGGGCGCAGTCCAGTGGTCCTCACTGGGCACGCGGACGCTTCTTAGGCTGACGACCAGGCTACACAGCGGTCGTCACAGGGTTACTCCTTCAGCCTTGGTTCCGGCTCTGTTTCGTGGCGGGCTACTCGCTCGTCTTCTGTTCTCGGCTCCAGTTGTGAGGCTGAGATCTACGCCGGGGCTATGGCGGCCCAGGAGCTTCGCTGGCTCATCTACCTGCTGACTGAACTTGGAGAGCCGCCTTGTTCTCCTTTAGTCCTGTACATAGACAACAAGGCCATGCTGGCCTTGTGTCGAGAGCAGCGACTGGAGCACAGGACAAAGCACATTGCTCTCCGCTACTTTCTTGCTCGTGAGCTACAGCAGCGTGGACAGTTGCGAATTGCGTACGTGGCCTCTGAGGCCAACACTGCTGATGTCTTCACCAAGGCGCTGGCGCCTTGTGATCATCAGCGCTGCTGCACGCAGCTGGGTCTTGTGCCTCTCTTACCTCACTTGCTCACTTCTTGACCTTGCTTGTACCTTTACCTATATATACTCTTCCTCTTGCTTGTTTGACTCTTGTATATCTCTATATGTGATCTTGCATGTGAACTGGCCTTCTGGCCTTTTGAACTTGTGCTCGGAATGTGTGGTGACTTTGTGATCCACCCTGAGCTTTGCTTTGCTTTGCTTGACTGGTCTTGTGACCCCTTGTTCTCCCCCACTTTGCCTATGGGGGTGTGTCAGAACATTATAGCTTACTTATTTGTGTAGGCTATAGTGGGGTATCCCATAGGGGGTACAATCCCATTAGGGTTTCCTATTTGTACTCACTTCATTCTTAGTCATTTCATTTCTCGTTCTATTCTTCTTAGTATGCTGTGACTTATAGTGACGAGGGTGACTGTTACCGGTGTTTCTCGCCCGATCCGGGCATTGAGACTGCTGCTCTAGGTGCTGGTGAGGCTGCTACTCTTGGTGCTAGTGCGGCTGTTGCTCTAGGTGCCAGTGCGTGTGGCGTCTGGCGATGCTGGGCCTGGAGGTTCTCCGGGTGCTTCGTCTCGGCGGGAGCCACTCTCTCCACAAGAGTTGCGTGAGTGGTTTGCCCGGCGCTGGAGGCGTACTACTGGAGCTTCTTCGGCTGCTGAGGGTGCTGGTGCCGCCGGTCCCGGAGGTGCTCGTGCCGCGAGTACTGGAGCTGCTGGGCCTGCGGGTTCGCCTGGAGCTGGAGCTGGTGAGGGTGTTGGCGCTGAGGCTACTGCTGTCAGTCCTGGAGACGGTTCTGCTGGGGGTGCTGCTGGTGCTGCTGGAGGTGCTGCTGGCTCTGGTCCTGCTGCGGGTGCTGCTGGTCCTGCTGGAGGTCCTGCAGCTGGCGGTGGTGTTGGCGCTGGTGCTGTCCCAGCTGTGTCGAGAGTCGCCGCGCGGCCTCGGCCGTACTTCGTTCCGCTCCTTCAGCAGGTTCTTGGTCTTCCTCCTCCCTTATAGTGTCCTTCGCCTGTCCAGTCCCAATCACAGCTTCCGACGGCCTCCCCACTGCCTGCTCCTTCTCCCTACACTGGTCCTACTGGAGGTCTTACTGAGCGTCGTGAGTTTGCGTCTCGTCCTGCGTCGCCTGTTCTTGCTGCTCGCACTAGTGGTCGCGGTTCGCGTCAGCGTCCTCCTCCTGTCCCTGGCACGCACCGGATGTCTCTGCGTCCTTCCACTGCTCCTCTGCGTGCCCCTTTGCCTTCTCCTCCTGAGTCTTCTCTTCTTGCACTTGCAGACCCAGAGTCGGACTCTCTTCGTGCTGCCAGTCCTACTGTCACGCGTCTCCTTGCTACTGTCGTCACTGACCCCTCCTTTGAGTCCACTGCTGCGTCTGCTCTTGTTGCTGAGGTCGTCGACTTTGCTGCTCGCTGTCATCTAGACTACGCTGCTAGTCTTGTTGCTGAGTCTACGTCTGTCTGTCCTCCGTCCGTCGGGGGTGAGTGTGCTCTTGGCACGGACGTCCCTGAGGACAGGCAGGAGGAGTTCCAGTGTTTGGCTGCTGCTTCACCTCATCTTGTGTCCGTACTGCTTACCCCTGAGGGAGACCCGGATGCACTAGACATCCCGACTCCGCGCTCTTACGCGGAGGCCGTAGAGGGTCCCTACTCCTCTCAGTGGCAGGCAGCTATGGATGCAGAGATGGCTTCCTGGAAGTCCACAGGCACCTACGTTGACGCAGTTCCCCCTCCTGGGGCGAACATTGTCAGTGGCATGTGGATCTTCAGGGTGAAGCGGCCGCCAGGTTCTCCACCTGTCTTCAAGGCGCGGTACGTGGCTCGTGGCTTCAATCAGTGGCAGGGAGTTGACTACTTTCAGACCTTCTCTCCCACCCCGAAGATGACCACTCTTCGGGTGCTGCTACACATAGCCGCTCATCGTGACTACGAGTTTCACTCCCTTGACTTCAGCACTGCTTTCTTGCAGGGTAGCCTGCACGAGGAGATCTGGCTGCGCCGTCCACCTGGCTTCACTCCTGGCTCCCAATGGAGCCTCCGACGGCCAGTCTACGGTCTCCGCCCGGCACCGCGCGAGTGGCACGACACACTGAGGACTACGCTTGCGGCTCTTGGGTTTGCTCCCTCTACTGCTGACCCGTCGCTGTTTCTGCGCACCGACACCTCTCTGCCGCCGTTCTACATCCTCGTGTACGTCGATGACTTGGTCTTTGCCACTACTGACACTGCTGGACTCGCCCACGTGAAGTCCGAGCTGCAGAAGAGACACACGTGCACAGACCTGGGTGAACTGCGCAACTACCTTGGCTTGCAGATCACCCAGGACAAAGCACGCCGCACCATTACCCTGACTTAGTCCCACATGGTGCAGCAGGTCCTTCAGCGCTTCGGCTTCACGTACTCCTCGCCTCAGGCCACTCCTCTGCCTACTCGCCACTCGCTCTCAGCTCTGCCTTCGGATGAGTCCGTAGAGTCGAGTGGCCCGTACCCAGAGCTTGTTGGCTGCCTCATGTACCTGATGACCTGCACACGACCTGACCTTGCATACCCTCTTAGCATTCTCGCACGCTATGTTGCTCCTGGGAGACACCAACCAGAGCACATGGCTGCAGCGAAGAGGGTGTTTCGCTACTTGTGCAGTACGTCGGGCATGGGGCTAGTGCTTGGAGGGCAGAGTCCAGTGGTCCTCACTGGGCACGCAGACGCTTCTTGGGCTGACGACCAGGCTAAACAGCGGTCGTTACAGGGTTACACCTTCAGCCTTGGTTCCGGCTCTGTTTCGTGGCGGGCTACTCGCTCGTCTTCTGTTCTCGGCTCCAGTTGTGAGGCTGAGATCTACGCCGGAGCCATGGCTGCTCAGGAGCTTCGCTGGCTCACCTACCTGCTGACTGACCTCGGAGAGCCGCCTTGTTGTCCTCCAGTGCTGTACGTAGACAACAAGGCCATGCTGGCCTTGTGTCGGGAGCAGCGCCTGGAGCACAGAACGAAGCACATTGCTCTCCGCTACTTTCTTGCTCGTGAGCTGCAGCAGCGTGGTCAGTTACGACTTGCGTACGTGCCTCTGAGGCCAACACTGCTGATATCTTCACTAAGGCACTTGCGCCTTGTGATCATCAGCGCTTCTGTACTCAGCTTGGTCTTGTACCTGTCTTGCCTCACTTACTCATTTCTTGATCTTGCTTACACTATGACATATATATTTATACTACTGCTCTTACTTGTTTAGCCTGTTATATATATATGTGTTCCTGCATGTGAACTGGCCTTGTGGCCTTGAACTTGTGCTCGGAATGTGTGGTGACTTTGTGATCCACCCTGAGCTTTGCTTTGTTTTGCTTGACTGGTCTTGTGACCCCTTGTTCTCCCCCACTTTGCCTATGGGAGTGTGTCAAATTATAATGTTGTGTAGGCTATAGTGGGGTAGCCTATATGGGGTACACATTTCTAGGGTTGCATATTTGTATCACTTTCGTTTCTTAGTCAATCATTCTCGTTTCAGTTTTCTCAAAATTTAGGCCCCTAATCTTCGTAGACCTCGTCCTTAGTATATAACGGCAGTGGGGTTGGTGAGACTACATTGACTTGCAACAGTGGTGCTGGCAGCGGCAGTAATGATGCTGGTGGTGGTGACTTTTATTACAGCTGTCGTTGTTATGGCAGTGGTGACAGCTGTAGCAGTGACAGCAATTCAAAGAGTAGATGCACTGGCAACAGCGACAGTAGCAGTCACTGCCTATGTACCAAGAGCGCAAGCAGTGATATGGGTGATGGAAGAAGCCCCATTTGCAGTAAGGTTGGAGGAGACAGTGGCTGCAGTCACAGTCACCTTGCTTGGAGGATGAGTGGAAAGATGTTTACGTGCTATGGCAGCGAAGGTAATAGTGGTGGTGGCATTGGTAGTGGTGGTGGCATCAGTGGTAATGGTGGTTTCAGCATGATGCACCAGATACAGGTGTCAAGTGGTACTCTCTAGTTTCTTTGCTCTCTTCTGTGCTTGTGGTTGCAGCCAGTGGCCATGGGTTGCCATGTGGTTACAGATAGCAAGTGGTGTGAGTGTAACATTTGTACATTCCCCTCTTTTCCCAGCTCGTATTGGCTGAAAATGAGAGCGCGTGCGCTGATGAACGAGAGCGCACTGACAGTATTCCGAATTCCAATCACACAAAACGTCTCCAATTCAGAACCAGACCGTCCAGTGTAGTCGCTGCCTAGGTTAGGTAATATCACAGCAACGTATCACTTATCTTCCCAGCGTTCGCGCCGCTCTCTAACTTCGCATCCCTTAACTTAGTAGCTATAGTTTTAACTCTCGCTATAGTTTTAACTCCGAGATGCCACGTTCTTCAAACTCGTCGTTGGACGAATCCTCGGCCGTTATTATCGACCGTCTGTCTGACGATCTGCTGACGTCACTTGACGCGGCAACTCCGCCAGTGGACCGTTTATCAGACGACATCTTGTGCTCCGTCCTCTGTCTAGCTTCCGTCGACGACTCTCCCCCGTTACATCTCTTGCTTGTCTGCAAGCGATGGCTTTGCCTAGCTTGTCCCGTTCAGACCTCCATTCCCTCCACCTTCTTTAATT